TTGGAGTATTTTTAAAATTTAAAAAATTTTAGTATTTTTTAACCCACCATCCCCTCCCTCTTTCTTCCTCCTCATCCCTCCTCCCTTTTCCTCTTCCTTCTTCCTCCTCCGTCTCTTTCTCCCCACCTTTCCCTTCTCCTCCCTTTCCCTGCCACGTCTCACCCCTTCCCTTTTCCCCCTTCCCTTTCATAGAAAGGGAAATGGAGGGGTTGGGGTGTGGTAAGAAAGGGGAGGGGAAGGGGAAAGAGGAGGAGGAGGAGGAGGAACGGAGAGGAAAGAGGAAAAAGAGGGGATGGTGGCAGTGGTGGATAAGGGTGATAATGATGGATGATGGTGATAGATGGAAAAAGAAAATGATGTAAATTTTATTTCTATTTTTTTTTTATATATTTGAAATTGTTTTTGATATATTATAAGGATGTGGTATTTTTAGAGTTATTTTTATTTGTATGTTACTATAATATTGTATATGAAAATTTTGTTTTTTAAAAATGAGAAATCCAAACGGAGCTATAGTTTTTCATCATTCACCTTAAATGTTTGGTTTGGAACTAAAACATGTTTCATTCTATTAACAAGTTAATAGATTTAAAAACAAGTCTTAAATAAGTAACAATAACGAGCAAACTTTTACACTTTGATTCCTATTGAATAATTCTCATAGGGACTCAAAAGTTAACATTTGGAGGGCAAAACTAGTGAATGAGTATACTTAAGGAGGCATTCTTATATTTTTCCTAAAAAGCTCCATTGGCAAAGTTTAACATTTTCAAGGATACAAGTGAATTCGTACGTTACAAGTTAGATCTCTCCTATCGCAGTGATTTTAGGACTAAACAAGTTTGATATCTCCAATCGCAGTAGATTCTATTTCGAGGCCATTTCCAGGGTGAAATGAGTATTAATATATAGTGTTCGAATTTAGGATTTAGGATAGCTGATTGTAGAGATGTAATATTACATTACATCTACGAAAGTTTTCAATTGTGTGAAGTGAAGTATACCCATCCTAAGAGCCAATAAGAATTTTTAAAGTCTCCAAATTTGAACCATAGGTTAGTTTGGCCAAATAAAATAAAAAACAAAAGAGAGCAGCATAAAATAAAATAAAAGACTTTCGGTTATTTTTTGGGCCAGACGGCCAAGCTCAGGTATTTATAGATATTTATAAATCAAGATCTACATGGCTGACTTTCTTCATGAAGCAAATAGAACTAAATATTTCTAATTATTGATCCACATGCTTGATACAGAAGATGGTTCATGATTATATTGGAGTGGCTGCGGTCGACATGAAATTACGTACAATTTTGAAGGCACTCCCTACCTGTCTTCACAAAGATACACTCTGATGCGCGGGATCGTGGCGCATTCCTCCGACTTGGTTTGCCGGCTCGGATCCTAAGTATTCGAGTCGGAATACATTCCGGATTACAAAAAAAAATACACTCTAATGGAATCCAAGGCAACAGTTCCAGCTTGTGAACATCTTGCCATGCACTTGATTGAATTGGGTACATCAACTAATATTATTAATTGGTCCGACCAAGGAGAGTGGCAACATCTTGGTATGGATTCACTTTTATTTATTTATTTATAGTGTAGGTTCACTTTGCATTCTTGTTTATTTGTTTACTTCTTTTCATTAGGGAAAATAATTGATGCACAAAACCCTCAATTACTACCCGTAGAGTATCATGTTGATTTCAGGGTCATACTCTGATGAAGAAATAAGATTTCCATGTGTGCTTAATAACTTGAATAAATTGGCCATGTTTCAAAAGGTAAAAACGTTGGACATAATTTTTTTTTGTTTTTGTGAAAGCAAAGCAAAAGCGTGGAATAAAAAACCAAAAAAAAAGAAGACTACATATACTTTTTTGCCTTGATTTGTAAAATGTTCATTTTTTTTGATAGTTTAAGGGTATCAAGGGCACTAAAATAGTCTCTCTTCTCTAACATGAATTTTCCAATATTACTTTTGGTTAGAAGGGCTGATAATGTTATCAAAATGTCAATTCAAGGGGTGCTAAGTGAGATTTTAAAAATCTCAAGTGAGTTAAATGATATTTCGTGAAATCTTAGGGGAGGTTTTTGAAATTATCGCACAAGGAAATGGCTAAACTATACACCCTTTATTCTAAACCTATACTCCTGATGAATCGATGATTTGTAAATTAGCTTTTGGAACTTATAGTATTAAATTATTAGTATTAAAAATTGTACGAAGTATAAATTTGGGACAGAGAATATGAATTTAGCTTATCCCTTTTTAAATGGTTTTCGATCTAATTCTAGCTTGGATTTATTTTTAGAGATGAAGAAGTGGATAATTGCTCATAAGCTATCTTGAAACTAGATGCATTCCCTAGATACCAAACTAAATAAATAAATAAATAAAAAGCAAAAGCACATTCCAAGTGGAATGCATTGTAACTAGAGGTATTCTCACACAACGCACAAAAAAGCACATTCCAACTAGCAGGGAAAGAGATTCTCCTAAACGCAAACACTATGGCAATACCTACATATGCAATGTCATGTTTCAAACTTCCCGTGAAACTTTGCAGAGAGATAAATGTAATGATGGCAAAATTCTGGTGAGGAGAAGAAAATCGAATTGGAAAATTCATTGGTGCTTGGGAAAAAAATTAACAACTGTGAAGGATGATGGTGGGATAGGATTTAGGGATCTCAAAAGATTTAATAAAGCATTGCTAGGAAAACAAGTATGGAGACTCCTAACTTGTCCAAATCTGCTAGTCAGTAAAGTTTTGAAAGCAAAGTACTATTATCCAAAAGAATCACCTCTGAGCTATATAGTAAAGAGGAATTCATCTTGGATATGGCAAAACTTAATGGGAGCTAGAGAAGAGTTAAACATGGGAGCTAGAAAGAAAATTGGAAATGGAAGAAGTACAAGAATCTGGAAAGATACATGGATATAGGATTGCAAGAAGGGAAGTTAAGTTCTCCTAAGTCTCAAGGATGCAAGCTTAACATGAATTGATCTCATATTTCAGATGGAACAGAACAGCTAATTTTCAGGACGTTTAGCCCAAATAAGTGTAGAAAAATCCTAAAGACAGCTACTTTTGGAGCCACAGTATCACAGGGTATACTGTTAGATTAGCATATGAAACAATGACCAAAGATGAGAGATAGAAGGAAAAAAGACCCAACAGTGAGGGTGAGACAAGTTTTGCAAGAGAGAAAAAAAGAGCTCGGAAACAGCTATGGAAAATGAAAATCAAGCAGAAACAGAAATTGTTCATCTGGAAATGTCTAAATCATGTCTTATCAGTTAGAGAAACTATATTCAAAATGACTAGAAAAGGTGAACTGATTTGCCAAAACTGTGGGAAGGATGCTGAGACATTGGAACATCTCTTCTTTCAATGTAGAAAGGTGGGAAATATTTGGAAGATGGCCCCCTTCAATGGGGTGGTCTATCTGAGCACACAGGAAATTTCAGGATTTGGTGACAAAGCTGATGGGAGCTAGGAACAGAAAAGATGGCATGGAACATATAGCTCTGACAGTTGACATACTGTCGCAGATTTGGAAGGTTAGAAACGACAGGGAGTTTAAAGACAAAGCGAGGCACCCAATGGAAGTAATCCAAAAGGCAGTAAATGATTGGGAGGAATACTATCAAACTCAACATACACTGGCACAGGTAAGCATTTCAGAAACAGAGGCAGCTGTAGAACAAGAACAAAGGCTTGTACAAGAAGAAAATATGCTGAAAATAGGTGTGGAAGTAGGACAACACAAGAAAGGGCAAAACATGGGGATATGGATATCTGCTGCAAACAACCTGAACCAGTTGCAAGCAGCATGGGAATTGAGGGAAAGAAGTACTGGCTTGAAGGTCCTAGACCACCTGTAGGCCATTAAACTGGCCTTAAGTAAGGCGAAGGAACAAGGGTCGGAGTTTATCAAAGTTCATACATCACGCACCCAAGTCCTAAGCTTAATCAAAAAGGCATCCTCAAGTGACATTAGAATTTCTGCACACATGGAAGACATCAAAGCCTTTAGCCCATTGTTTAGGAAATGCTCATTTGACCGTCCTGGCTTTGAATAGAATAGGCTAAGTAATATGTTAAGCAAACCAGCTCAAAACATAGTTCTTGATGAGGAATTCTTAGATCCTCAATATTTTAGTGCACTTTTGTATAGCTCAATATGAGCCCTTGCTCAAAAAGTGTATCCTTCTTTAGTCATAAATAAAATCTTATGTCATTTCAGGAAAAAAAAAACTAGGAGTTATGTAAAAACAATAAAAAGAAAAAGAACAAGATAGGAGACGACGAAGATAAATGACCTGAATTTTTGTTCTCTCAACTATATATTTTGGTGTCATTTTCCTTACTTTCTCTTCTTTTTTTTTTATTTATTTTCCAAATGGACCTGACGACATTTTCATTGCAAAATTGCCCCTCAACAAACAACATTTGATATATTGCACCAGCCAAAAAGCTTGGAACCAAATGGCGCTAGCAAAAAGTTTTAGGGATTAATGGTGTATTTAACAATGTAGCACTGTTTGATCTCAATTCAATGTCAATAGACCCTAGAACTATCTCCAAATTGTCTATGAAAGAAGAGAAAAATACAAATAGACAAAAAAAAAATAAAGGTTTTAACAGCTGCAATGGTTCGAAAAAATTATGCTTCCCAAATTGGTGAAAAATGGATAAATTTATATGCAAAACAGTACATCGTCCAAGATGTTTTGCTGGTTGTTGATGGAGCAGATTCCTGTGGTCACATTGCAAGACATGTAATTTGATGGTTCTACAGTTAGAGGATTTTATAAAGTACCCCTAGACAACCTTAAACTATTTCTAGAAGTAAAATTGGGATGAACAAACTTTCTTGAGATTTGTTGTACACTCTAAATTCTCTCTTTAATACTATAGTTCTACTATTATTTACGCAAAGGTTAAAATCAGACAAAATAAGTAGAATATACCACTACAAGAAGCCTAGTATTTGCTCCAACATAATAGCCTAGGCATGCATTCCATGTCAAAGCTAGGTCTAGGATCCATTCAAGAAACTCCAGCACCTGAGAATACATACATGCATGTATATATCAACTATTTCCTCCAGAATTATTACATCATTTCACCTAAGCTTTTTGCCTGATTTGGGTGGAAGTGTTCCAAAAACCCTATCCCAAAAGGTTGAAGTGATTCCAAATCCCTTGTCCTGAATTCTGAAATGATGGTTCATGTGGTATCTCTGTGATCACGCAAAAAAAAAGAAAAACTTAGAAATTTTATGATCTTTAGGCTTGTTTGAGTAATTTACAGTTGAAAAAAAAAGAAAAAGAGAATTTTCTCTGAGTAATTATCTACCTTCATTTTACTAGAGACTCCTTGCAATGGCTTTCCATGGTGCAAGTAATGAGTGCAATCATACATAACATATCCCAACAAGCCACCTCCAAGTAGAGCCGGGGCATACAGTGTTGGTGTTAGGAGCTTAATCAGGTTCCAGAACTGAATTTACATAGAACCAAAAGAACGGTAAATGAGTTAGGAAAACCTCAGAAAATTTTCATAGGTACAACAAAATTTTGCTAAAGAAAATAGCCAAATAAAATTTGGCTTTAATTTATTAGTTGTTGAATGTTTGTTTTTAGCATAAAAGTTAACCCCAAAGCAAAGGCGGTTAAAGTATTTCTACCAAAAAAAGACGTTTAAGGTATAGAGATTTTGAATCTAAATCATGGAGGCAGAAGCTAATTTACCAATGATATTAAACTACCAGTGAGACATAAGCCAAATACATTTCCATTACCAGATTATGTTTTGATCTTTTGTCTGATAAATTCAAGGCCGGAATTCAATTTGAAATTTATCTAATTCTAAGGATTGTCATGATCTGCTTAAAACTAAAATGACCATATTGTATTGTTAAATTCTTAATGTTGAAAGCTCAGATGCCACGTTTGAAACCAGTCTTTACAGTCTACAAACGAAAATGGTACTTACTGGCACAAGCAAGATTGCAGTTGCAGCAGGAGGAAAAACAAGTCGATATCCATCCATTGGGTGCTTGTGATGGCATCCATGAAGAAGGTAGTGAATTGTATTTCCCCTGTGTCACAACAATTTTTCATTCCCAGCATCTTTGGATACTTTAACAGCCAAAATAAGACTATTAGTACTTTTGTTACACTTTTGGTGTTATACTTTATAGTACTTCATGGATTTAAGTTATACTTACCGTTAGAGAATATTAAATGAGAGGACACGTATCACTCTACAGCATTATGTAACACTAAAAGTGTAACGGAGGATCCATACTTAAAATGAGTTGAGAAATTCTAACTTAGAGTGTCCCTGCAAGAAACTTTAAGAGGAATCAGTGATAACTTACCAGTATGTTTTGGTTTTAATGTGGAAAAGAAAGCGATGCAGAGTGTACTCCAGCAATGTCCATATAAAGATGCCTGCAGCGATCGTTGCAGCTAACTGATTTGAAGAAATGCCCATATTCACAGATGACTTGACGAACCAGCATACAACAGGAAGCCACACAAGAGGAATCACCCACCAGGTATTAAGTGTTAAAAACTGTTCCAAATTCAATTCAAGGAGCAGAAGGGATTAGAATTCATTTCCAACTTTCATGTTTAATAAGCCTGTGAAATATTACTTTTCATAAAATCAACCTTGACCTGGTTGATGACTTGAAAATGAATCATTGGAGAGCACAATTTTGAGTTGCATGTTCATGATCTTCATAATTTTGCAAGTAAAAGACTTACAATAGATGAATATTATTGTGTACTCAATATTCAATAAGTAATACTTGAACGTGGAACTTCTGAGTTTAAACACCATAGTATCACACTTCTAATGCTTCAAGAATGCGAAAACGTATTAAAATCCACAAATATTGATAGGCCAGATGATGAGTAATACCTCTAGAAGATCATTTTCGAAAAATCGGGGGCTTTCTTTGCAAACAATAGGCTGGTGTACCCATTCCTCATAATCTTCTCCAAGATGGCCGACCTGTGAATTAGAAACACCTGAAGTTGAGACAACTGAAACCGGATGATAAACAAATAAACACAGAAGCTGGACTTGGTTATTAAAAAATCAGGTAATATTATATGCATTATCAACTACAAAGCTTAATGGTTAGAAACTGAAGTCGTACGAAATCTAACCTGGAAAACAAGTGGCTTGTTCAAATCCACAGTGAAGCCTTGTGCGACCATCTTGGCACCTTTAAAAACGAAGTTAGTAACAAATAAAACTCTTAGCCAAGAGAAAAATGAAAGAAAATTCCCATATGACGCTTTGCATGATCATTATGGACCACATTAAGGCAGGGGAAGAAACGAGCATAATACATAATCAAGCACAGAAGAAAAAGGAGGACTCGTAAAGCAATACTTTTCTCTGTTATTTATTCATTTATTTTTCTTTTGGTGGTGAGAACATTGAGGTGCAATAAGGCCACTAATTTGACGTAAATATTATCATACAATCTGAAGTTGAATTCATAATTCTTCGTTTGTATAATCTAACAGCAAGTTAAAGGGATTAAAAAGAAAAGAGTTTACTATGATGCGGAATGTACACAAGGCAGATGCCACTTGACAACAATTCATGGTATGATATCATTTTTGTCATTAAATCTGTTTCTGTGTACATAAGATGATGCATGAATTTTTCACATCATTCACTGGCTTTTGAATAGGTAAGTTTTGTATTACATAATGCGATAAAAATGTCACCATTTCATGCAGGAAGGGAGACAACTAAAACATCGAAAATCCACACATTTGTTTTTCTTTTTCTCCCCCCAGTTAATGTTGGAAAACTATAAGTTTGATTGGAATTTGCTCCTCGAGGATCGCATAGAATGTCTCATACAATGATAATTAACCATAAAACAGTTCATGCAAAATCAAATGATTTATAACATGCAAGGAATTTTAGGAAAATAAACTTTATGAATTTGAATCGGATTAATCCTTTCTGGGGCTGATTACTTGAGGAAGAATTTTGAATACATATGAAATTTAGAGTGAAAAGTTTCATATCTTGAAAAATGGAAACAGAAAGAATATTGAACGATCATCTCAAGAACATGAAACATTTTCCTGTAAATAAATGTATACATGAGGATAACTTACCCAGGACAATGCTAGATTCTCTTGAAGCAATTAAGAATTGAAACCCTCTTTCTTTTCGCTCGAGTGAAAATAAACCAAATTGGGGATATGAAGTTCTTGGTATATTTAGCCTCCGAGGTAAGGGGCGGAGTGGAAAAGGGGAAAATTTGAACTAGTGATGCAAAATCCTTTTACTGAGTTAGTATGCCTACAATAAAACTGAGGATGCCATACATAATTTGTGCTAACGGGATATAAGGAGAACCATACATACAAGGGCATATAGAAGGGAGATGTCTATCAGCGAAATTAATTTCCCTTCATGCTAGAGGCTGAAACTCCTTACAACACCTCAAATTGCTCTCAACTCTTGAAGTGTCAAATTACCCTCAACTTTTGAAGAGAATTAGGCTTTACAGAAATTTTAAGATCGTCTAATGCACTTTAAATTCATATTTAGGCAAATGATATTGAAATTTCTCTGTAGACATGTACAGGCAAGTTTTAATTTGCACTGTGAAACTTTATGCGAGTTTTCATTTAGCTCCCCAAACTTCAATCTGGGATGCTTTGCTTCTTGAATTCTTGAGTTCATCGTACTTTGGTCTAATTCCTAACTGACTTTATAACCAAATTTAAAAAATAATTAAAATTAAAAATAAATATATAATAGTTAATTAAAAATTATCTAAAATCCTTACAATGAATGCAATTTAAACTAAGAGTGCATGAAATTTTTGTACAACTATATAAATATTAATTCTTATCTAAATTTGTAATTACGCTTGAAAGATGTAGGCATATTTTTCTCTGACATTTAATTTTCAACATTGTTTTCAACAATTGTAGCTATGACTCTTTTCAGGACCCTTGCATATATATTTTTGAAAATATTCAAACTTGCTTCATTGCTTCATTCTTGTGTTTTAACATAGGACGCACTTGATTGAATTTCTTGAAATCAAGATACAAAGCAAAATCTCTAGTAATTTATTGAAACCTTCTATAAAAACTACCTAATGTAAATTTGTTTAGATAATTTTTTAATTCATTAGAAATTAAGAAGTCAAGAATAACATGAATATTTGAAATATTAAATTAGATTATTTTTTTGAACCCAAGAATTCTAACCCTAAAGTCTCTACCTTAACAATTGGACCAAGGCCTCTTGGGCATTTATAAACATGCGTATATAAATATTTAACAGTTTCATATAGGAAACGTACTTGTCCACCCCATAATCTAATAGTATCTTTGCAATTCTTGCTTAAGTTCAATATCCAATCCATAATTATTCTTCCCTTTTTCGACCAAAGCTAAAACTATCCATCATTATAGCACCAAACGAAACCTTCCAAATTTGCTAAAAGAAAAATAAAAATCAGTTCTTAAATTTTAGTATATGATACTCTGAAGTGATTATGACACAATTAAGTCAGAAATATAATTAACATATCAAAATTCATATTTGGAAACACTAATTGTTATACCTTTATCTTACGATGTTATAGTTTCTTTGAAATATGTATAGATTTCTGAAAAAAGAAATAAAAAGGATATGAAAGTTTTTCCTAAACATAAAAATAAAAAGAAAGCCATTAATAGCAATGTAGATGGAGGCCTATGTAAATATGATGGTAAAATTACTCTATCTTGTTTTCAAAAGATATCCAAATAGCCCATAAGGAAAATGACGGACCATTATTAGCCACACATCAATTTTTAAGCGGATGGGCTACTTTCTCATCCGGTGATACTTATCTCCCTTCTTATCCTCTCTTCCTTTCCCAATTCACACGGTTCCTACTTTTCGCTCTCTAGACTCTTTCAACTTTCATTTTTTTTTTTTTGTCATCGTTACTAGAGATTTTTTTAAAGAGGCTACATATTATACAATTAGTGGGAGTAAGGTTTAACCCTTGATCTCGCATCCACCAAATCTTAAGAACTTAGTGGTGGCGCAATAGCCTAAAAGCCGTTGATTAACTTGTTAACTTTTTCGCTCTTCTTGATACTCTCCAATTATATTTTTTCAGTTCACTCATTCTCCCTTCCCTTCCATCCTTGTACTTCCCTCTCCTCCCCTTCTCTCACCACCACACTATCTTCAAAGTTTTCAATTCTTCTAGAACTTCTTCATGCACCTTACTCCAATCACGCAATTCCTACCTTTTTACTAACAACATTTGCCTCAATTTCCTTCAAACCATAAATTGAGACGTATAATTGTACATCGAACCAATCTTTGTATCTAACTTCAAACTAAGTTATTCTGTTTTGTTTTGTAACCAATGACCAATTAGAAGGAATTCAAAGATTTTCTAGAAAAAAGAAGATTCTACAGTGGTTTGTGAGGCAGAATTGTTTCAGCCAGTGGTTTGTGACGAAACTTTTGTAAATCTAATTGTAGAACCATATTTAATGGCTTAAAACAGACTTCCAATTGGGTTATATTCATTTTTTCAAGATTCATTGTAGTCTACGAATTTGTGATTATTTCAACGAATGGCAGATAACCATAACCAGTCTCAATCTCCAAGCATGGCATTTTTCTTGTTTAAGCCAGGAAAAGCAAAGGAATTTTAGCAACCGGTAGGTACAACATCAAAGGAATTTTTCTAATTGATTAATTTATTACAAGAGAATTAGTTTCAAAGGCGGTCATTAATATTCTAAAACCTCAAGGGTGAACTTTGAAACTATCAAAAACCTCAAAGGAGGTCTCTAAAATAGTAAAATTATCTTATCATTTACAGGGCTAGGAAGTCAATAAAGGCCACTGCCCTGGAATCAGCCATCTGAAATGTCCTACCAACCATGATAAAGAACTCCAGAGCCCACTGAATTGCGCACAATCTTCGAACAAGATTCAACACAAAAAACTATTTCTCTCTTCTTCTTTTTTTCCTTTAATCTAGCCGTACAAGCAAACCAACAAACAATAAAGGAGCTAGGACGACACGATATGAAAAATGTCATCCAAAATTGGTAATTTTACGTTAATCACTCATTAGTACACATAAAAAGTTCCCAAAATCACAGCCCATTTGTAGTATGCAATAGAATAAAAGAAATGCCACCTGAATTGAGCACATAAGAAAAGCTAACAAGAGGGCATGAATAGTTGAGTATCAGATACACATATCCTTTAGCGTTCTTGGCAGAACAATGATATAATTGAAACATATCAGACAAGGATGGCAACTCAAGGAAGAAAAGAGTAATATTTTTTGACAAAGAAGAGAATCCACCAATGAGTTACGAGTGTAATGGAGAAGCCTTTCAACCTTATAATGCACCAATGAACCTTGATCTCGGACAAAAACATATAATAACACTGAGGAAACATCCCTGCAGCATCTCATCTTCAGATGCTTGTCATTCTTTATTCTTTTATGCAGAAACTAGAATGCAGGTGGAGAGCAGAAAGCCGCCACACTAAATTCTGGACTACAAAATGCCATCTTACCCAACCCAATTCTGTGCAGGTTATCAAAGATAAGACACAAGATGTAGGGCATTAGCCTGATCAATAAGAACCCTTAAACGTTCGGGCAATTACAAGAAAAATCGACTTTTATAGCATCACTCAAAGCAGACTTGTCATTGTAATTCAAGAAATGAGTATCATATATTATATTTGATTGTTGCAGATTTACAGTTCAATGTACAACACTTCAGGTTCAGGACCAACCAAAGGTTGAAGATTCTGTCAAACGTAACCTCATAGAACAAAAACAGAGCTTCACAAGAAGACTCCATTAGGAGCAAATGAAAGATGAGCCAAAATTTATGAAAACGCCAACACTAACAGTCAAGAACACGAATGTTCCAACTAAGCATTTGGGTTAAAAAACCTGATCACAGGCCAAGTTAAGCATCTAACTAACTTTCCACCAGATTTCTTCAGAAAGCACCAGGACAAGATGAACATCAATGCAGATATCTTGCCTCCAAAAAGTCCAATGAGAACAATTAAACAGAGCATCAAATACCCAGAATTCCCCTTGTTCAAGATTTCCTCCCTTCCCTGCTAACAACTCCATCGACATCCCCCTCTCCAGCAGTACACCGGAACTGGAGATGATATTCAATGCCTCTTCCCCTTCACAGCTTCCAATTGAAATGGATGATATATCGCTGCTAGATTTTAGCTCTCCTCCATTCCCATATTCGCTGTCTTTGTCTTCAGATGTCATCACATTTTCCTCTCCAATTGGACTTATTTCACCTTCCAATTTTCCTTCTTCTTTCTTCGCCCTTCTTGATTTTCTTGAAAAGATGTGCTTCATCTTGGTTTTCATCTTGGCTCTGCGTGATTTTCTTTTCTTAACCTCACAGCTGTGCTCCTCTTTATTCTCCAAAACCACCACCTCCGAGTCTGATCCTTGAAGATCCAACTTTCCATCACAACTGAATTCATCAGATTTCTGCTCCTGAGATTGTATATCTTCAAGAAAGGGCTCCAAGAATCTCATCGGCTGAATAATCTCAACTTTGCCAACTGGATCAATCGATCTCTGATCCTGGAAATCAGAACCACCTGACTTATATATCTCCTGTTGCCCCTCTTGGTCCAGAGACACCTTAAACCCTTTATTCTCTCCCTTTTCCTTCCCAATTCTGAGAAATTTCAAAACCATCAATCTCAGCCTCTTCTTTGCCTCAGAACAGGGAATAAACAATCTATAAACATGAATCCCACATACTCTACAAAGAACAAGAAGAATGCCGACATAGTTAGCCCAAAGCGAATTTCTTAGTCCCCAACGCCAAAACCACCACAAAAGACATCCTCAAAACCGCCAGTAAAACCCCTTTGAAATTCTCATCCTCCTTTTTAAGCTCATTGACGGATTCTCCACGAGTTTCCTCCACCGTAGTACTCAAAAGGGTCGAAGGCAGAGGCGAAGATGAAGACGATGACGAAGAAGAAAGCTCCGGAGGTGGAGAAGACAAAGGCGACGGCGGAGGGGATGTCAATATCGAAGAATTGGTTTCGTTCTTTCTCATCTTGGACGACTTCTTAAATCTCTGACGATTCCTGACAACTATATCAACCAGGGA